CACCCTCTTCTGCTTTCTCCCCCCCCCCCCCCTTAGCAGTTGGCATTTTTGGCCAGACTACTACCGACAGCGGAAGCTCCACTTAGGCGTCTTGGCGAACGGCCAGTGATCGATCTACATTCTATAAGGTGAAGAAGGAGCTCTGCCGGAGGAGAACAAGGTAAAGGTTCCCTTGCTTGAAAGCCAGTCGAATCTGACTCTAGGGTTGCGGTGCTCATCTCAGTTTCCAAGCCGAAGAGCCAGCGCTGTCCGAAGACGTTTCCGTGGTCATGTGGCCGGCATGACTAAACACCAAGGTGCACGGAACGCTGTGACCTTCCCACCGAAGTGGTCCCTATTTATCTACTTGCAACTTCTTGCTTTCGAACTGCTAGGTTGGCAGGAGCTGGAACTAGAGACGGGAGCTCACCCTGTCTTGCGGCACCGGGGTCTTGAACCGCTGAACTACTGACCTTCCACAGCCTGCAGTTCAGCCTCTTAACCACTTGAGCCACCGCAGCTCCTAAAAATATAATGTAAGGAGATATAAATTGAATTGATATAATTTATCTTAAACACTAGATGATGTTATATACAATTTATGTACCTTTTTGTTGGTTGTAATATAGTTCTTCAATACATTTTTTAAAAAAGGGGTCAGGCCCCCCGATGGAGGACGAGGAGGACGCGGCCCGGCGTTCCCTCCGTACCCGGAAGACGAAGTACTCCTTCAGGCGTCCTCCGCGGGTCGGGTTGCGGACGCTGAGGGGCCGCAGGGTCTGCCTGGGCGGCAAGGACGACGAAGGCGACAGGTCGCCCGGAGGCGTGAAGGGGACGTCGGCCTCGGCCGCCGGGACCATCAGCGCCGCCTCGCCGGAGCCTTCCACCGAGTCCCGTAGCTGCAGCATCGCCGCCGGGAGAAGGAGCGGGGGACCCGCGACGGCTGCAACGGCCGCTGCCGCCGCCCACCGGGGTTGTGCTCCCGCCGCCCGGCCGCCTCCCGGCCGCCTCCCCCTTCCCTGCCCGCCCCGCCTCCTTCCCTGCCCCTCTGCGCGCTTCCCCTCAGCTGCTCGCCAGGCCCAGGCTAGGCCGCGCCGACGCCCAACGGGGCCCGCCTCGGGGGAGGGGCTTAGAGGCAGGGGGCGGGGCCCGAGGAAAAGGCGGGACGGACTGGGGAGGACCGCCCACGGGGCCGCCTCGAGCGGCGAAGGCGACAAAGGCAGGGGGCGGAGCAAGGAAACGGGCGGGAGGGGAGGCGGAGCTCGCGCCGCCGCAGCCAACGGCGGTTGTGCGTGGAGGGCGGAGGCGGAGGGCGGAAGCCTGAGGAGAAATGATCAGGCGGGTGCTTCTGTAGCGTCCCGCTGGCTTTGAGAAACGCCGCCTTTCTTTGAGTGGCGGCGGCGGCTCTCGGGTTGCCGGTTCTCGGTTGGCGAATACGTGGAGATTTTGGAGGTGGAGCCTCAGGAGGGTGGAGTTTGGGGCATAAAACCGTAGGGTATAAGGAGCTGCGGTGGCTCAAGTGGTTAAGACGCTGAACTGCGGGCCGTGGAAGGTCGGTAGTTCAGCATTTCGAGACCTGAGTGTGCCGCATGACGGAGTGAGCTCCCGTCTCTAGTTCCAGCTCCTGCCAACCTAGCAGTTCGAAAGCAAGAAATTGCAAGTAGATAAATAGGTACCGCTTTGGTGGGAAGGTAACAGCGTTCCCTGCGCCTTGGTGTTTAGTCATGCCGGCCACATGACCACGGAAACGTCTTCGGACAGCGCTGGCTCTTCGGCTTGGAAATGGAGATGAGCACCGCAATCCTAGAGTTGACTGGCTTTCGAGCAAGGGAACCTTTACCTTTTTTTTTTTACCATAGGGTCCAACTTCCAAAGCAGTCTTTTTTCTCCAGGTGAACTGATCTCTGTGGTCTGGAGATCAGTTGTCATAGCGGGAATTCTCCAGCTACCATCTGGGGGTTGGCAATCAGACGTGTCATGTTTCAGATTACACCTTCCCTCCATTCAAACACAATTCCAGGATAAGCCTTCGTTAGTTTTAGAGTTACTTACCAGCAATGCTCCCTAGTCTAGCCTATGGAGTTTTGTGAGCAAAAATTCTACTGTGTGAGTAGAATTGGCTACTACACGCTAATAAAGACTCAGCATTTACAGTGTGATTTTAAATCTGTAGGTGATATGCTCTTGCAGTGCAGAATTGTTTTAGCAAACACTGGGTGCAGACATTAGGACCAATGCTCCCTCTAAGCTGTGGAGTCTTGTGAGCAAGAATTCTACTTTGTGACGAGCTACTGGCATTCAATTTTATTTTTAAAATCAAAGGCTTATTCAAGGTTTTCAACATGTAACAATACAAGAATATAACAACAATATGATGAGAAGAGCAAAAGGAATAACAACAAGCATTACTTAACATCTAAATACTTAAGGAGGTATCATTATGCTCATTCACATAACATCTATTGATGGGTTAGTAGCTTTAGCCTATATGTTACTTTAAACAATTCTGTTTTCAGAAACAAAGCCAGTATTTATCATTAGCAAGAGAGGGAACCACTTCCTTTTCTGAGAGCAACTGAATTATTGGAAACCACTTACATACAAATGGTGTTTGATAATCCTTGTTAGTGTGATTTGCTATGCCATCCGCTATTTTCCCCATAATAAATTGCACCCAAAGTTTATCATACCACAGGTCTAATGACAGGCCTGAGACTGATTTCCATTTAGCGGCTACAGTAATTCTAGCTGCAGCCAATTATAAAGAGATTGTTTCTGTCATTTGTTTTGGGGGAAGAGACTCCGGCCACACTTCAAGTAATATTAATTCAGGATTAAAAGGTATCACCAGACCAGTTATCTGTCTAATAGCCGTTGTTAACCCAGAATTTTTGGATTCAGGGGCATTCCCACCAACAATGCCGGAATGTCCCAGGAAGACCACAGCCTTTCCAGCATAGTGGGCTGGTTGTTCTATTTATTTTATTCAGTCCTTGTAAGGCGGGCCAAGTGGGGACTGCACAGGTGTTCTGGGCAGCGCTCCCTCTAAGCGGTGGAGTCTTGTGAGCAAAAATTCTACTCTGTGAGCTACTGGCATTCAAGTTGTGAGTGAACGATTTGGCCACTGCATAAATCAGTTTGCTCTGGAGCCCTCCTTCCTGAGCTAAGTCAAAAATGTGTGAGCTAGAGGCTAAAAAACTGAGCTAGCTCACACTAACCAGTTTGGTGTAGTGGTTAAGTGCAGGGACTCTAATCTGGGAGAACCGGGTTTGATTCCCCACTCCTCTACTTGCACCTGGCTGGATGGCCTTGGGCAAGCCATAACTCTGGCACAGCTGTTCTTGAAAAAGAGCAGTTTCTGTCTAGAGTTCTCTCAGCCCCACCTACCTCACAAGGGTGTCTGTTGTGTGGAGGGGAAGGGAAAGGAGTTTGTAAGCCGCTCTGAGACTCCTCTGGGTAGTGAAGGGCGGGGATAAATCCAATCTCCTCCTCCTCCTTTTCTTCTTCTTAGAGGGAACACTACTTACCAGATGTCCTCTCTTTAAAAAAAAAAAAGCTTATGAAAACTTCCTCTTTTTGGCTTGGAAGGTTAGGAGCATTCCTAGAACAAAGTTTGAGGCCAGTGGCACCTTTAAGACCACACAAGAAAACTTCTGCCCAGAGAATTAAACTTTGTTGGCCTTAAAGGTGATGCTGGACTCAAAACATTGCTCTGTTGCTTCACACCAACAGGGCTACCCACCTGACTCTAATTCCCATATAAGCTTTCATTAGCTTCAGGGTTACCAGGTGTCCTCTTTTTAGAGAATATGTCCTCTTTTTTGGTGTCTGACCTCTTTTGGGGTCTGTTTAAAAACTGATGAAAATGTCCTCTTCTGGGGTTGGAAGGTAAGGAATATTCCTAGTTAGTAGCGGTTATCACAGTGTATTTAGAATGAGATTTGTCATAGTGATCACTTGTTTGAAGTAGGCAGTGGGGAAATATGTCCTCTTTTTTTCCTTTGCAAAATATGGCAACCCTCTGGCTTTTTTTGTGTGTGTGTCACCCCTCTTTTGAGGCTCTCCCAAATTCTGAGAGGGAAACTGCTGCAACCATATGAATCAGTTCTGGCACTTTTGAAAACAAAAAAAGTGCTGCTTAGACTACAGCCTGCTTCTTCAAGTACTTTAGATTTTCATGAAATCGTCTTTGCCTTTTGAACAACTAAAACCCCATATAATGAAATTAAAAATCTCAGCTGAAAATTCTGCAACATGGATTGAGCTGTGTACCCACAAGAGGAAGCTTGACCTTGAAAACTATCACAGAGGAAAATGAGGGCTTGTTAGTCTATGAATTACGTTTTTATAGATTGCTTATTTGGATAAGGAGGCTGCACACATTCTAAAAACAAGCAAACGATAGCAAAGGACAAAATAAGAAGGTAGCTCTTCGCTTGTCTCCCAAATAATAAAAAAGACCCAAAAAATCAGAATAAATTGGTGAACAAATAGGCAAAAAAGACCAGTAGCATTGTATTTATTGAAAGAGCTATATCCTACCTTTCTAGCTCATTGAAAGCACTTGGGTAGGGTAAAAATGAGTGAAGAAGTTGTAGCATATGAATTCAGTAGAAGGGCAATAGAAGGAAGGCAGAAAAGCCCTTTGCTTCCTCTGTCCCTGCCTCCTTAACTCTTCCTCTGTTTATTTTCCTGAGGACTAAGACGTACGGTTGCCAACCTCCATGTTGATGCATGTGCATTTATAAAATGTGTGTGCTGCCTCTCCAGGCCTGATCAAGGAAGCTCACAGCAATAAAATAAAGCCAAGCAGACAATAGAAAACAAATCATATCAATAGAAACATATGTTTAATGTATGCATACAAAGATGAATTTTGCTATGCAGTGGAGGAGAGGGCTGAAGAGTGACGATTTTAGCAGCTAAATGCTTTTTTTTTAAAAAAAAAAAATAAGGGCATCAAGTAATTTGCTGCCGCCTAGTGATGAGATTTCAAAACTCTGACTGTGAGATTTAAATATTTCAGGCATGACAAAAGCTCTATAAAACAGGATTTACAGTGTGGTTTTAAATCTGTAGGTGATACGATCTTGCAGTGCAAAAATGTTTAAGAAACACTAGGTGCAGGCATTAGGACTACACATTTCTAGCCCCAAGCCTTTCTTACTGCTTTTCAGAATTATTTGCTGGGGCACGTAAATACAGAGAAGAGGGTCTGTGCATGGACTTACTGTGTCTGGTGACCCAGAGATGGGTGCTCCCTTTAGATCTGGCACATTCTAAGATACCTAACATACTGGTTTTATTTGAGAAACAACAATGAAAGACAATGGCATTGGGCCTTACTTATGGGTTACCAGCCTCCAGGTGGGACGTGAAGATCTCCCAGAATTACAGCTCCTCTCCAGACTACAGAGAAAATTGATGTTTTGGAGGGTAGACTCTGTGGCATTGTACTGCACTGAGGTCCCTGTCCTCTCCAGGCTCCACCCCCAAATCTCCAGGAGTCACTCCGCTTGGAACTGGGAACCCTACCGGTAGTGTCCCCCACCAGTAGCCAGGGGACCTAGGGTTGCCAACCTCCAGGTGGGGCCTGGAGACCCCCCACTTTTACAACTAATCTCCATCTGACAAAGACCAGTTCCCCTGGAGAAAATGGCTGCTTTGAAGGGTGGTCTCTGTGGCATTGTACTCTGCTGAGGCCCCCTCCCCTCCCCAAAGTCTTCCCTCTTCCAGATATACCCCCAAAGTCTCCAGGTATTTTCCAACACAGAACTGGCAACCCTAGGACCTGGTCACCCTAGGTCACCCTTTGACCTTGACTACAATAGGTGTTACAAATTACAATGGTGAATTCTCAGGTTAGGATGCGTGGACAACGACAAATCCTGAAAGAAAGGCAAAACATTATTAAAGGAAAAGGTTCCCTTGCTTGAAAGCCAGTCAAGTCCAACTCTAGGGTTGCAGTGCTCATCTCCGTTTCAAAGCCGAAGAGCCAGCGCTGTCCGAAGACATTTCCGTGGTCGTGTGGCCGGCATGACTAAACACCAAGGTGCACGGAACGCTGTTACCTTCCCACC